GATAAGAGGAGGGTCTGATGCAAGAGATATTATGGAGGTAATATTGAAGGATCCGAAGCCTAATTAGAGATCAAGATAAGAGAATGAGTAAACCAGATCATGAACATGAGAGGTTGAGTGAAAGGTGGTAGTACCACAAATAGCAACAGGTAAATAAGGAGGAAACCCTTAAGCAGGGTTAGGGGTAAAGAAAATGACCCCAGTTTGTGATACATTGAACTTAAAGATGGGAAGAGATGGCCTGTAACTACATATGCGTGGAACTCTGAAGGTAGGTCAGAACTCATAGCAAGGTCCTGCAGGTCTGTTGGGATTAAGGATACAAATAGAAGAATTCGTTTTAATGGATAATAGAGTAACTCCTCTTGCCTAACCGAAGGAAAGAGTAAATGATGTTGCTGAGAAGTTAAGAGGAATGCAGGGGAGTAGACTTCTCTCTCATCTTCCATGAGAAATAGGAAGGCAAGTCATTTGCTATAAATAGAGTAATGCTGATGGTGAGAGGAAAGAGGAATACGTTTAGAATAGCCACTCGAGTAAATCCAACAGCACTATGGACTGCTGGTAAACAGGGGCAGCAGAAAGACCAACCTGAGAAAGAGCCATCAGAAATGGTCAAACTTAAGTGCATGCCCAGACAATGATAGGGCCTGCAAAAATTGGTCACTGCCCTAACTAAAGGGCAATCTTCATGTTTGTGGTGTGGAAAGGTCTTTTGGTCTTTGAGAGTCATTTCAATCACATTTATTCACTAAAACAGAATATCACTCAATAACATCTTCTAATATGATCAGTGACTTCCATCATCTGTAAATAAAAGACAAAAGTGGCTCTTCATTACTGGGGTCAATTGGGCACCTTGTCTGGGTTGTCACAATCATCAACTCTGTCAAAGCTAGAGAAAATTCTATCTACCCTCCCTTCATCAAGCAGTGCTAAACAAAAAGCTATATTACTAGAAGACAACATTTCTTTCTCTCATAATCACACTCATGGTTTTAAACTTAATAAAAAAGATGAATGCCACACTCGGCACAGGACTATGTTGTTAACAATTCACCATGAAGCAGCTGTCCATAACTCAACTCTCCCAGAAAGTTTCCAGCTTGCTAGCTTGTAGCCATTTTCTCATCCCAGTCGGCTGGCATCATTTAACTATACTTCCATCAGCGACAAGACAGGCATTGCTGTGAGTATAAGAATGGGATGAGCAAATGGAAAGGGAGGAGAATGAGTGAGTCCACCGGTATAAATGTTTCTTAAGAAATTGAATAATTCACCTCATGTATTCATTCCAGGGCAGTGGGAAATGGAACAGGCACACTCACTTTAATAATTTTTATGGCAGGATAGACAATTCTACACTGTCTTCTTACTATGAAGACAAACAAAAGCAAAACAAAAAGCCTACTACACTGGAACGAAACAGGAGCCATGCAGAGTATGCTTGATGTGAGGGGATGGTGGCAGCACCTGCTCTCGTTTTCAAAAAGTCCAAATCCACACCTATGATTCACTGGTCTGCAAGCTAAAGTAGCCCTGGTAGGCTGCATGTTCCTTTGTATTTATTTTTTGTTTGTTTTTGTTTTCTGGTGGGGCTTTATCAAATCTGGTTGCTGTGCACTGTTTCAACCTGCACACCCCTTAACCCTGGGGGAATCGGCCGAGCACCTGGGTTTTATCCATCACAAATTCTGCCAGCTCTCGATCTGAACTGCTCAAGATAATGCAGTAGCTTTGGGGCATGGCCCAGGAAACCTCACTGGGGGAACACCGGTGACAAGCAGGTGGCCATCCCTCTCCAGGGGTAGAGCAAAGAAATACAATAGGAACGAGGTGGGATGGGGCGGGTAGATGACGAGTTCGCCAGTGTTCTGGTTGGACTCAGCCAGTCTCTGGGGCTGTCCGGCTCAAAGTGGGGAGGCGGGGAGATTTAAACGGGAGGGGACATGAGGTTGCAAGCGGGAGCCCCCCTTCACCCCAGCCGCGCTCTGCCGTGGCCAGGGAGGTGGAGGCTCGGAGGACCCGAGCCAGAGCGTGGCACGCAGAGCGTTCTTCCACTCCTTCCTTTGTCCCAGGGAACCATGCACCATACACTGCTTAGCACCGGGGTTCCTGTGGCCTCTGGCCAGTGCCTCTGACCACTACCGCGGCCGAAACTCTTCGCTAAGCCCTGCCCAGGCTCTCAAGACCTCAAGCCCCTCACCCCGGGGGAGCCGGTGGGCAGCAAGGGGATGACTAGGGCTGGAACCCAACTCATTCAATTCACAAGCGCAGCGCCCCGGGAAATGGGTGAGACTGTCCCCCTCCCCAAGCCCTTGCAGAGGCCCCTCTGCAACCCAAGGAGATGCAGCCCTCGACCCCTTCATCCCACCCAGACCCGAGGTGGGGGGGGGGCTGCGGGATAGGAGCACGGGGCTCCTCTTCCTTCCCCTGTTTCACCCCAACTCCTCCCCCTTTACAAATACCCCTAAGGAGCCGCCGCCGCCGCCGCCGCCACTAACTCCGGGGGCCGCCCCCAGCGTTACCTGCAACAAGCCAGAGCCAGGGCGGCATCTCCCTCCCGGGTGCGAAAACTCCCGGCCGCTCTCAGCGCCCCGGAGCTGGGTAGGGGGGAGGGGCCGCTCGCTCGCCATCCCGCGCGCCGCTTCCCTCCCCCCGCCCCCTGCCGCGCGCTGCCGCCGCGAGTCCCTCTACCAGCGCGCGGACACACGCATCCACACACTCCCACACCCTCTCTCCTCCTCCGTCCGGCCTCCTCCACACTCTGATTGGCTGGCGCGGCTTGTCAGTTCCAGGAGACCGGACGGCCCCCCGCCAGCTCATTGGCAAACGCGCCGGTGACATCATGCCGGAGGGAGTCGGGCCTCGGGGAGACGGGAGAGGGAGGGGACGAAGCCACCTTGGGGAGCTGGGCTTGAAGGCGGGGCAGGGGGCGGGGAAGAGGAAGGAGCCGGCTAAAGGAGAGAGTTCCTGAATCCTGGGAAGCAGGCCCTGGGTTTGTGTAAGCGTGGGAGCTTCTAGAGCCCTTTACTCATCAAGTCCTCCCCACTCCTCCAGCATTCGCTGCCACCCATTATTTCTCTTCCCCCAGAGCTTTAAAAAGCTCTTTTTTTCCAGCCTCTTCCTCCTTTTCTCTCCTCCCTTTCTTCTTCTGTCAACCTCTTTGCTCCATCCGTTGCACCATCCCTTCTTCCTCCATCTGGAGGTCCCTTTGACAGCTCTGAATGGCCAGCCCCCACATGTCCATAACTGAACTCATGGTCATCCTCTTCCCAATCCAGCCACTTCTTCCACCTTTCTGTTGGTGGCACCACTATCCTCCCCAATCCAGGTTCAAAACTTCTAAAGTTCTCAGTGATTCCGTATCAGTTACCAGCCATCTCCTCATGATTGTGTCTCTGCAAGATCTCTTTTAATCACTTTCTGCAGCCACCGTCTCTTTCCTGGACTCCTAACTGATTTCCCTGTCTTCTGGAGTCATCTTCCTAATGCACAAATAGGATAGCATCACTGCACTCAGTGGTGTGCTGGAGCCAACAAAGCTGGTTGTTAAATTTTCATTCTGAGCATTTACAATTCAGATACTGGAAAACTCTGCAAATTAGGACCTTATTGTTTTGTTGATTTTCTTGACTTAAAAAAGTGATGGAGAAAATGTTGATAATGTAGATAAAACTTAAAAGGGTGTCCTGCCATTCTTTTTTTTTGAAAGTCAGTTGTTAAATATTCATCTGTAACCCAGTGATACTCTGTCATCTATGATGAGGTAAAATACATACTCTATGTCCTGGTTATTAAGGCCTGCCACAGTCTCTCTAACATACCCTTCTAGTCTTTCATATTACTCTCAAACCGCTATTACTTTCCAACTAAACCAGTATCCCATATCTAATTCCATATCTTGTTTTGTCCTTTCTAACCTAACGTGGTTTCCCATGACGTGAATATATTTCCTTGACATCTTCACCAGTTGAAATCCTATTCCTTTCAAACTTTGGTCGTGTCCTACCTTCTCCATGATCCCTAAGCTAGGAGCTTTTAGTTTAATTTTTTTTTTTCTGAGGCAATTAGGGTTAAGTGACTTGCCCAGGGTCACATAGCTAGTAAGGGTCAAGTGTCTGAGGCCGTATTTGAACCCAGGTCCTCCAGACTCCAAAGCCAGAGCTCTATCCACTGCGCCATCTAATTTAATTTTTAAAAAGTAACTGTTATGTGGAAATTGCTGTGCTAGGGATTGGGGAAAAAAAAATGACAATTTCTACCCTACAGGAACTTGCCTTGCACATAGATAAAGAGCACTGGTCACCAAACTTCCAAGTGAGTCTGATAAATGGACATTGTCACCTTATGAGTTCAAGAGTTCCTGAGTTCTTCAGTGGATGCTTGGCTACCCAGCAAGAGATAGTTCTTGCAACTGCATCAGTTCTTGGGGGAGAAATCTAAACAGGATATTCCTGAACCAGAAGGGACCAGAAGTCCACTGCTGGCTGACCAGAAGATCTGGACCTTGTGAGTTTCTTAGATAACATAGATCCCAGGTGAATGTGAAATATCTGTTCAGTAGTCTCACAGTGTTGTCTTTACCTCCTGTAGTAGGTGTGTTAGATTATTGTCTTATGTTTTAAGTATTTGTTGATGTAGGATGATTACTCTTTTTTATTTTAAAATTTCTTTTGTAGTGGAGGAAAGAAATAGTTGTCTTATAACTGATGTTCATTCTGTATATTGAATACCTTTTCTGGAAGAAACCTTTTAATACATTTTCAGGAGACCCTTGTCATGAGCCATACTTAGGCTTTATTTTAGACCTTTTACTTGGAATCAATCTGGGCTGGAGTCATTAACAAGCTGAGAGTGTAATAGAAGCCTGGAGCAGCTACGTGGTGCCGTGGATAGAGCGCTGGCCCTGGAGTCAGGAGGACCTGAGTTCGAATCTGGTCTCAGATCAGACACTTGACACTTAATAGCTGTTTGACCCTGCGCAATTCACTTAACCCCAATTTGCCCCCCCCTCCCCTCCCCCCCCAAAAAGAAAGAGAGAAGCCTGACTCCCTCTCTTTGGGGTCAAGCCAATTCCAAGATGAATCCAGGCTCTGTGAGAGTCCAGAATGTAGCTACTTGTGAGAAGGGGCCCTTCTGACCACAGGTCACACAGTCTAATCCAAAAAGCACCTATTAAGTTCCTGCTATGTTGAAGGTGCCATGCTCTGAGGATACAAAGACAAAAGGAAATCGGTCATTGTTCTTAGGGAGTTACATTCTTCCAGGGGGATACATATAAACATATGTGTATATATAGTTTGAGGAGGAAGAACTTGAACAGCTCAGGAGATCAGGAAAGGCTTCCCATAGGAGATGGCACATGAGCTGAGCCTGTGATGGAAGCTTGACATTCTGAAAGGTAGAACTGAGGAGAGAATGCATTCTAGGCATGGGGAAGAACCTTTGCAAAAACACAGAGGCAGAATATGGTACTGCCAAGTAGAGGGAATCACAAACAGTTTAGTTTGACTGGAATGTGTACATATTTTAAGGTGAACTATGTAAAATAAACTTGGAAATGTATATAACTGGCTTATGTAAGACAGTAGAATCTCATACCTCCACGTGGACATGTGACCACCTACTCACTCTCGGCTGTCTCACTTTTTTAAAAATAACTTTTAAACTTTTTAAACTTTTTAAAAAAGTTATCTTATTTTTAATTTATAGAATAAAACAAACATTTACATAACATAATATAATAAAAAATAAGGTGATTGCACATGAAACTGCAAATTTATTACGTACAACTTGCTATTCCTTTTAAATATATAATAAAGTTATATAAATTTCTTTTTATTCCTTTTTTTCTTCCTTCCCCCATGGATTTACAAATGAATTTTATCAAACATTTAAAGATCAACTAATTCCAATATTAAATAATTATTTGGAATAATAGGCAAAGAAGAGATCCTGCCAAACTCTTTTTATGAGGCAAATATGATACTGTTACCTAAACCAGGAAGAGTAACAGAGAAAGAAAATTATAGACCAATTTCATTAATGAATAAGGATGCAAAAATCTTAAATAAGATACTAGGTAAAAGATTACAACAATATATTAAAAAGATTATATTTCCATTATGTCCAAGTGGGATTTATACCAGGAAGACAGGGACGGTTAATATAAGGAAAACCATTAACGTAATTGATTATATATCAAAAATAAAAGTAAAAAAAACATATTGTCATATCACTCGCTTTTACAATAGCAAGTCTAGTTTCGTAAAGAATGACCAACACCAAGAAGCTACACTCCAATTCTCTCCAAGTCCGAAGGGTAACCCTGCTGAAGGAAAACAAACTCCCATTACTCATCACTCTAGCATTTAAGCCTTCTCTCACATCTCCAATGATGCATTTCTATTTTCACAATCAGTTCCTTACAATGATACTTTTAGTTCTTAAGCAAACATTTACTTAACAATAAGGGGAAAATTAATATTATATCATGGGTATTCATATAATGAAGTAGTAGCATAAAAATAAATATATTTCAAGTCAGGCAGATACCTAGACTGGACTGTTCTATTAATACACTCAGTATTTGCAGGGAAGAATGGGTATACACTTACAGAAACTTGCCCAGGAGGCACATAAATGAGGAAAACCCATGTATTTAGAGTAAGTCACAACTCTACAACTGTAAGCTTCTTTCTGTCTCAGGAACTGCTCACAAAAGTTTCTTGAGGAATATAGCTTCTGTTTGTATGGATAAGTTGATGCATGCTATGCTTGACTGACTTCTCTGGACATGACATTTCAGCCAAACTAATTGATATTTTGAGTGAGTTCTATGGTTCTGTGCTTGCAATCAGTTCTTCCCTCCTAAACTTACTCATCAATAACAACTAATATCTATTGCTTCTAACTTCAAACTTAGCTTATACAGTTCTAAACTGTCCCCATTTCACTTCTCCCTCTCTTCTTTTATCCTTCTTGATTCAGTCTCTGTGAACAACCCCAATGCAGTTTATGATTGATGATCAAATTCTCATTTTTTGTCTAATAATCAGATAAGTTACATTTGTCCAGAATTTTGGTGGAGCCAGTTCATTAATGAAAGCTGATTATTAAATTTTCAATGTTAGTATTTATACCTTGGAAATCAGCAAATGCTGCAAACCATGACATGGTTTATTGTTTTGTTGATTATCTAAAGTGATAGAGAAAAATTTAATAATGCAGATTAAATTTAAAAGTGTGTCATGTGTACATTTTTTTAGAGCCAGTTGGTAAGCATTTACCAATATGTCTTGTATTTGTCCCCCAAATTATACAACAATTTTGATTTCCGTATCTGCCAGCTTGTTATATTCAAAACAGCAGCAACTTCTTTCTCAGAGTAACAGTTTCTCTTAGGGGGCTTAACTTATCAACAAACCTTAAAAGACACTGTGCAAAGACTTTAAATACCAAGCTGAGGAGTTTGTATTTTGTCCCAGTGAGTTTCTTGAGTAGAGGAGTGAAAGTCAGTCTTATGCTTTATGAAGATTATTTTTCAGCTGTGTGTGGCATGGTTTGGAGAGGTATTGAAAACTTAGTTCAAATTGGAACCTATTTCAGTAATGCAGGTGAGAGATGAT